CACTCACAGGAATGGAGAAGGATTGAGGCTCGTGGGTGCGGTCTCCAAGAGTAAGGACCACTAAAAACAAAAACAACAAAACTAACATAGATTCTAAACCATAAAGTTAGGCTCCATCATAACTTCCAAGCTTTGTGTTAACTTGTAATGATCTTCTACATGAATTGTTGTGAAGTACTGTTGAGCTGGCTCTGACTCATAGCAACCTTATTTAAGGCAGACCCCCGCCTGGTCCTGCACCACCCCTTCCACGATTGTTATGCTTGAGTCCATTCTCGCAGGTGCCCTCTCAATGCATCTTCCCGGAGGTCTCCTCTTTTCCGATGGCCTTCCACTTTACCCAAAGCGGTGTCTTGTCCCAGGGACTGTTCTCACTTGAGACTATAACCAAAGTGCAGAAGAAAAACATGAGCTAGCTTTGCTTTCTGGAGTAAAGAACATTCTTTATCCCTGGCAAATTTATTTGTCTTTGGGCCAGTCCATGGCATTTTCAGTATTCTTCACCAGCAACAGAGTTCGACTGCATCACATTTCGCCAGTATTCTTTATTCACTGTCCAGCTTTCATATGCTTATCAGATGAATGAAAATACCTTGGCTTGGGTCCTGTACACCTTAATCTTTAAAGAGGAAACTTGTTAGCACTTTAATATGCTCATGTTCCACAGGACATTCTTTGATTCCTTGATGCTGTTTCCATGAGCATTAATTGTGGATCCAAAGACAATGACATCCTTGACAACTTCAGTATTTGCTCCTTTTACCACTGTGCTGTCTGTTGATCCAGTTCTGAGCAATTTTCCCTTTACACTTATTTGTAATTCATACTGAAGACTCTAGTCTTTGGTCTTTATCAGTAAGTGCTTCCAGTACTTTTGGATTCCAACAAGCAAGGTGGGGTCATCTGTCGAATGCAAGGGGTTAATGAGTCTTCCTCCAGGCCTGATGCCACGTCCTTCTTCCTGTGGTCCAGCTCCTTGGATTATCACTCAGCATGCCAAGTGACTAAATATGGGAAAAGATACAACCGTGATGCTTATATTTTCTGATTTTCAATCATGCAGTATCTCCTCATTCGGTTTGAATGCCTACCTATTGGTCTGGGTACAGGTTTTGGATGAACACAATAAAGTGCTTTGGAGTTCCAATTGTTCACAATGTTATCCATAGTGGGTTATTATCCATAGGACCAAATATTTGATTTTCTTTCTTTGTAATGGCCAAGTGACTGTTTTCCAAATAGGAAAATGCATGGAGAGCAAAGTTTATCACTCTTAGTTACCAGGAATGTAGAGTAGGACAAATGAGAAGTTATTGCTTAAGGGGCACTGATTTCTGTTAAGATTAATTAAAAAAATAGAAATGGGCAATAGAGAAAGTTTGTACAACATGTTGGATGTAATGTAGGTCACTGAATTATATATATAAAAGTTGTTAAAATGGCAGATGTTTTCTTATATATTTGTCTGCAATGAAAATTAAAATTTACACAATAGGTCAAGAGCCACCACAGCCCAGCATGGCCACAACTTGAAGTAAGACCCGTGTTCTCTATGACTCCAGTCTTTACCTCTGAACACAAAGCCACCATTTCATTTGTTCACTAGATACATATGCCTTTAAAAATATTTTCAGGTTCATCATTCTTGTGCTGCCTTGAAGGACAGGCACATATCTGTTCAGTAGCAAGCACGATGCTAGCTATTTTGTGTGTATCATACTTTAGGAAGCACGTCAGGCTTAATAAGATAAGAATAAGAATTGTAAGTCCCATTTTATGTGTGAGGCCAATGACACTCAAGGTATCCTAATTCAAAGTGTCATCATACTTCACACTGAGGTTAGCTGCAGTCTTTTCCATGAAGCCACGTAGCTTCTTCAGGTCCCACCATTTTATAACCAATGTTACATAAATTGTTTTACTATTGGTCTTGTATCGTATTTCCAATATTTCACACTCTAGCATAATGTAATTTTGTGAACTTTTAAAAAGTAAACTAGAGCCCATCTAACCTGGAGGGCTGCTGTAAATGGGACTGGAGGCCATGGCACACAAGAGAAGCACGAAAGACTTGAGCCCATCTTGTGCACTGCCTCATGGCTGTGTCGTTCTCACGGCCCGCGGGTCAGTTCTGACTCATAGCGACCCCGCAGCAAAGGGCAGAGCGACTCCTGTGTGGCAGTTACATACTTTCATGTCAACCTGATGTACGTGTAGGGGTGGAGACTGTAACTCCTAATAGGAGTAGAAAGCCCAGTCTTTCTCCTGTGGATGTTACCTATAAGACATCGCAAATGAATTTGGTTAGGTTATGGGAACACCCTTACAGCATCATATAGTTGATGGAAAATCACAACCTAACTAAAGTACATTGTTGTTATTGTCTAGTATACATTATAAAATGCATGCATGTATAAAAACCTGCAAAGAAAGGGGGAACTGATCACAATAATTTGCATATAATGTCCTCCCAGGGGGATGGATAACAGAAGAGTGGGTGAAGGGTGACAGGGAACGATGTAAGATATGATAATAATAATCTACAAGGGTTATTCATAGGGACGGAGGGTGGGAGAGGGAGGGGGGAACATGAGGAGCTGATACCAAGGGCTCAAGTAGAAAGAAAATGCTTTGGAAATGATGATGGCCACCTATGTACAAAGGTGCTTGACACGATGGATGAATGTAAGGATTCTGATCAAAGATGTAAGAGGCCCCAGTAAAAGGATTAAAAAAATTTTTAACCTGCAAAGAAAGGATAAACTAGTGATGTTAAACCTGGATGCACACCAGCACTTACCGCAGCATTGTTCACCATAGCCAGGGAGGCAATTGTGCTGAATGATAATAGCTATTTTCTCTGAGAAAGGACTGGGATGGGCAGTGGTAGGTAAAGGAACCTTTGCTATATTTGTATTGTTTGGGTTGTTTAAAAAACATGAATACATGTAGTTAGCAAAAATTAAAAATATGTTAAGATAATCACTCCATAAGGTGTTTTTCTTTGAGTGAAAATGATATATAATGTCCTTTAATACAATGTACCACTTTGGAAATTGTTCCCGCCAAAGCACATTTAAAGGCTTGTTGATAGAACTTGTCTTTTCAATTCTTATATTAATGCAAGCCCTAAATTCTTTTAAGGGCTTATTCAAAGCATTCCTGTATCTGATAATGTCAGCGTTTTTAAATAGGGGTAGACTGTTTTCTCTCTATCCAGTTAGCTGACATTTCATTTTACAGAGTGAAACTTGTGGTTTGGTTAGTTTAGCTTCTCTTTGTTGTTAGAAATTTAATGGCTACTGTTTCCAATTATTTTCTTGCTGAGTAACATATGAGGGGGTACCCCCAAAACCAATGCTCATTTGTTTTTTTTAAGGTGAGGGGGATAGTGCATTTGGAGTTCGTTCCACCAGGTCAGACTGTTAATCAAGCCCTCTATTTAGAGATTCTGAAAAGATTGCTTAACAGTGTGCAACAAAAAAGGCCTAATTTGTGGCAGACAGGGTCTGGGTTTGCCACCATGACAATGCACCTGCTCATGCAGCCATCTCAGTGCACCAGTTTTTGACAAAAACAGCATGCCTCTCTGCCCTACACACTTGACTCACCTCTCGCTTCATGCGACTTCCTTTTGCTTCTGAGAATGAGGAGGGACGTGAAAGGACACGATTTAATGACATAGAAGAGGTGAAGAAAAAAATGGGGGGGGGGTGTTGTCAGCCATCTAAACAGAGGAGTTTGAAGTGTTTCCAAGAATGGAATCACAAATTTGACAAATGTATTAAGTGTAATGGAGAGCACATTGAGGGTGATAAGGTTATTTTGTAAAAATAATTAAATATATAGCTTTGAAAAAAAATATTATGGTGTTTTTTGAGTACCCCTTCATATTGTACTTAAGTTAATTGTATAATTCATTGAATATAGTTCATATTTTATTTAATGAAACACGGGGAACCTAGAATGGGCTGTTGGGTGGTTTTGTTCTTAATCAATATGCTCACCATATATTGATGGATCAATTCAGTTGAGCAAAATATATTGTGAGAAGACAAGCAAGCTTTATAATTTTTTATTTCTCTGTTGCTAATGTGAGTCAACGGCTACTGGGCATATATATGCTTGACAAGTTGTACATTTTCCAGAATTTATTTAAAAACCAACTTAATTTTTTGGATATGGAGTTAAGAGTAACATTTAAACATTTTCTAATGTGAAACAGCTCATTTTGTTTTAGCCTCATAATAGAGCGCTGTTGGTGAAAGCTTGGGACTCTCTGTTGGCACAATGATAGAAAAACCACCAGACTAGGCCCATATACTTGATTTATCCATCAAGACCATCCAGAATTTACAGGGAAAATGTGTTAGAGATAGGATTACAAAATCACTTTGGGCTGAAGTTTTAGCATTCCGAGAGAGAGCTTCTGAATCTGTGAATTTAGTGGGTTGGAAGATTCCTCTAGATCAGTGGTTCTCAACCTTCTTAATGCCGTGACCCTTTAATATAGTTCCTCATGTTGAGGTGACCCCCCAACCATAAAATTATTTTCATTGTTACTTCATCACTATCATTTTGCTATTGTTGTGAATCAGGCGACCTCTGTGAAAGGGTCGTTCTATCCCCAAAAGAGTCGTGACCCACAGGTTGAAAACTGCTGCTCTAGATAATGTGCTCAGCGGAATGGGTGGTTCAGGAAATCAAATTATTAAGAATATAATTCTCTGAAGCCACCCGCATTAACATCCATCATGCTGGCCACCACTGTTGTCATCACGGAAAGATTAATCAGTTTTCTTTTCTTTCTTTCTTCCTTCCTTCCTTCCTTCCTTCCTTCCTTCCTTCCTTCCTTCCTTTCTTTCTTTCTTTCTTTCTTTCTTTCTTTCTTTCTTTCTTTCTTTCCTCCATAGAATGAATGGAGGCAGTGTCACAGTTGTATACATTTCTCCATGTTTAGAAATCTAAGTTAACAGTGCCATTTTCATTTTGTGTTTTAGAGCATCAGGGCATCGGGGCTTATCCTGCTGGAAACAATTCTTTTTGGATCTCTGCTGCTATACTTTCCGGTGAGTAACAAAATTGTATTTGAAAAGTAGCTTTTTTTAAAAGGCAGTGTGATATTTACATCTCTGTACTTATATAGTACTATATATCTATGTATAGGATATTTTAAACTTAGGGTACAGACAATATATTTTATGTGTAATAAATATACATCTACACATCAAAAGTTCATTGAAAATGAAGTTAAGAATAATGACGTTTCCACGAACTTTGTGTGTGTGTGTGTGTGTGTGCGCGCGCGCACATGCACATGCACTATGGTGCTGCAATGGTTAAAGTACAAAGATACTAACCAAAGGTTTACAGTTTAAACTCAATTGCTCTGTGGGAAAAGATGCGGTGCTCGGCTTCCTTATGATTTATAGCCCTGGAAACCCTGCGAGACATTTCTACTTTTTCCTTTAGTGTTGCTTTGAGTTAAAATTGACTGAATGGCAATGGGACTTTGGCAGATAGATAGAAAGGTAGATACATTTATATCCATGTAACTATATATGTGCAACCCATGAGGGGAATTGGAAAACTTTATGGAAAAAGGAATTAAAAGATAAATATTAAAATGTACGGTGTTTTTTTTAACCTAAGCATAAACTCCACCAAGACAAAGCTGATCTTAGATGATTTAAACCATTTCATCCAGCCCTAAAGAGCTGAGGTTGCTGGGAACCTAGATATACTAAAGTTGCCTTTTCTCCATTAATAACTGAAGAAAAATGGGTGCCCTTTATAGTTTTGTTTTGTTTTGTTTTTTTAAATGATCAAGAAGCAGAAAGAAGTCAGAGGGAGTCAAGATTGGACTCTGAATTCGATGCCTACTAATTTCCCATCAATACTAATTTCTCATCAATACATTCACAACATTGTCCTTGTTTGATGAGAAGATTCAGCAGGAGCCTTGTCATGGTGGAGAAAAACTCTTTGATGAAGTTTTACTGCCTTTTTTCCTACTAATGCATTGGTTAACTTTCTCAAAGATGTTGTCTCTTGTCCCTCCAGAAAGCCCACAAACAATAGCCCTTGAACATTCCAAAAGTCTATGGCCTTGGCCTTTGGTCTTGACCAATCTGCTTTGACTTTGACTAGATCACTTCCATTCCATGGTAGCGTTGCTTGGCTCCAGGATTTCACTGGTAAAGCCATGTTTCACCTTCTTTTACAATTCTCCTAGACTGTTTCAGGGTCTTTATTCCCATTGATGACAACTGTTATTCAGTTACTGAGGCTAAATGTCTGGGAGTCGTACTTAACACCTTCTCTTCTCTCACGCTGCTGAGACATCTTTCAAAACAAAGTAACAACGGAACCAGTTCCAATCATGCTCACTGCTACCACCTGTGGTAAACCACAATCTGTCTTCTGGATCGTTGCCCCAATCTCTTTATACTGCCTCCACACTTTGCTTCCTGCTTGCCTCTTCCATCCATATTCAAAATGGTAGCCATCTTTGATTCCAAAGTTAGACCATGTAGTCCTCTTCTCAAAAATTTCAAATTGTTTCCTATTTCTTTTACAGTAAAAGCCCAAATCCTTACAATTTAATTGCCCCTGCAGCTCCTAATTTCTTAATCCTTTTCTCTCACTCAATGTTTAAAGCATTCTTGGTCAATTAAGGTATACTAGGACATCTTAAGTTAAATTTTATATTTCCCCTAAAATATAAGTATATTTAAATATAATCAGTTTTTGTTTTTCCATAAAGTAACTCGTGTCACTTGAAAATTTCAATTCGCTGTGTAAAGTTAAATATGCTGTTGTTCGTTGCCATAGATTCGATTCTGGCTCATGGAAACCCCGTGATAATGAGTAAGGGAAGAAATGTAATAATACAAAAGTTGAATAATTATGAGACTTGGAGCGATTGCTTGTTGTTAGGCTCCATCCAGTTGACTTCTCATGCATGAAAGGACCCTTGACCATCATTACTATGCTTGATATGTTTGATCTTATTGTTCAGACACTGTGTCAATCCATCTCGTTGAGGACATTCCGCTTCTCACTGACCCCTCCTTTGCCAAGCATGATGTCCTTCTCCAGGAATCGGTCCCTCTGGATCCCATGTCCCAAGGATGTGAGAAAACACCGCACCATCTTCACTTCTGTCTAGGAAGCACGCTGGCTGTACTTCTGCTCGTCCAGATTTGTTGGGTCTTACGTCATTCATTCCCTGGTGCTCTCCATATTCTTCACCACAATTCAACGGCTCAGGCCGGTCTCTGGTCTTCCTTATGTTTTTTTTTTTTTTAATCATTTCATTAGGGGCTCATACAACTCTTATCACAATCCATACACACATCAATTGTGTAAAGTGCATTTGTACATTCATTGCCCTCATCATTCTCAAAACATTT